CCGGGGCCCCAGGAAGAGGCTGCCGCACCAGCCTAGCCAGCCTCGCCCAGGGCCAGGGTCTGTGCCAGGTGTGGGTGGCGGTGGGAGGGGTGGTGACTCATCAGTCCCGTCTGCCTTATTAAGGTCCCCCGCACTCTCAGCACCAGCACTCTTGCCTTTCCCGGTCCCCGCCATGTCGGTAAGCTCCGTGCGTGCTCCAGAGCCCAGGCTGGGCCTCATGGGCACGGGGCCGGGGCCTGGCAGAGGGCTGCCACGTCAACGGAGAAAGTGGGCAGCGGGTGTGCTGTGGGTTGTGCCGGGCTGAGGCGTCGGGGGTGACACACCCCAACCCGCTGGTCCCCATCTCCCTCTTTGTTCTTGGTCTCTCAATATTTTTTTTTTCTCTTGCTCTGCCCATCTCTTTCCCTGTCTCTGTCTCCCTCTCTCCTTCCTGTGACCCTCTTCTCTTGCACTGTTTTCTGCTGGTGTCGGTCTTGGTCGGTTCCTCCCAGGGTGACCCGTCTTCTGTCTCCCTGTCTCACGATGTCCCCACACCCCACTCTTGCAGAACAAGACCTCGCTGCCCGAGGGCCTCCGCCCAGGCACGGTGCTCAGACTTCGAGGTTTCGTCCCTGACAAGGCTGGCAGGTGAGATCCCAGGCCCCAGAACTGAGCTGAGCCCAGTTCTTGCAGCCAGAGATGGGGGACTTGGGACCATCTCTGCCACCAGAGTCTTGGAATCCCCAGGCCAATCCTGACCTTCTGACACCTGATGGGTTCGCTTAGCTGCCCCATGCCCGTGTGCCTCCGGCCCCCAAGACTCCCTAAGAGTACGGGGTTCCAGGGCATCCCAGGTTCCTAGATAGAGTCCTGTGACTTCCCCGAGTCCCCGGCACTGTGGAAATGTGCCCGAGTCCTGGAGACACCCCTGACACTGGGAGGCCTTGCCAATCAATACTCTGGGGGACCCTGGGGCCTTGTCAAATTAGAGGGTCCTCTGAAAATATTGGGGTCCCTGCTATTGTCCCCCATCCTCTGGGAGCTGAGGGCTCCCTGGGAACTGGGCACCGTGGCCATTAGTGCAGGACGGTTCCTTCTGCGGTGTGTAAGGTCTTCGGGTCCCCGTCAATAAAGGGGTGCCCTGACAATGGGGAGTCTCTGTCCATTGGCCCTTGACTTTGGTCTGGGTGGTTCCTGAGCCCCGATGGCCACCGCCCCGCGCTTCCAGGTTCCACGTAAACCTGCTGTGCAGCGAGGAGCAGGGCGCAGACGCAGCCCTGCATTTCAACCCCCGGCTGGACGAGTCCGCGGTGGTCTTCAACAGCCTGGAGCAGGGCGCTTGGGGCCGAGAGGAGCGCGGCCAGGGCATCCCCTTCCAGCGCGGGCAGCCCTTCGAGGTGCTCCTCATCGCCACCGACGACGGCTTCAAGGTGAGTCTCTGCGACAGGGCGCTGCACGCCAAGCCCCGGGCCCTGGAGCATAGGGTGTGGGACGGAGGACGATGTGGGCGGGGCCGGGGAGGTGGGGCAGGGACGTCCCCACCTCCTTTTCGCTCGCGCCTGCGCAACTGGAGGAGGCGCGGTAGAGCCGCGCGTCCTAGGACGGCGGCGCTCGCGGAAGGCCCGGCGCAGGCCAGCCACCACCCCGACCTCAAGCGAGTTAAGTCCGTAAGGCTGCGCTCCAATAGCGGGCAATGGACAAAATAATAATTCTAACATCCACCTGCAGCACTAACAAAGCACGTTTTTGTGCCAAACAGTAATCACACTTGAATTCGCGAAAAGACGTTATAATTAAAACCCGCCCCAGTTTCCCAATGGGGAAACTGAGGCCCAGCGGGGTTAAGTGACTTCCCCGGGGCCACGCAACGTAGGCTTCCGAAGACCCAACTTCCGCCCCTTGGCCCGCAGGCCGTGGTCGGGGACGCGCCGTTCCACCACTTCCGCCACCGGATGCCGCTGGCGCGCGTGCGCCTGGTGGAGGTGGGCGGGGACGTGCAGCTGGAGTCGCTGAAGATCTTCTGAGGGCACGTGGGGGCCGGCTCGGGCCTTGTGGGCAAATAAAGTTTAATCCTGTAGCGCTCCTGTGTCTGTGTCCTTTTGCAATAGATGAGAAAAGTGAGGTTCAGGGAGGTGAAGACAGTGACCATAGGCCACACAGCAAATGCGTTGCTGAGGCGGGATTTGAACCCGGATGTGGTTAGGACCATTTCTGCCAGGGAAGGCCTTAGGAGGATCGCGTTCTAGGAGTTGGTGGGTCTCGGACTCATGTCGCTGCAGGTTTCTTGCAAAGCAGGCGAGGTGTGATCGTGAGTGGGGCTGGCCCCTGGGGTTTGGGGCGGGGAGGGACTCACGGCATTCCTGGGCGCCCCGCCGTGGAGCTGATGGACGCCAAAATGAGTCCGTACTTTTCTGGTCACTTTGGGGCTCCACACGCCCGCGAGGAAAGGGTGTTTACGTATCCCCGGTCCCTGTGTCCCCTGCCCCTCTCCATGTCCTCTTCTCCC